ATAACTTTTCATATTTGAATCCAGGGCGTTGTTAGAATAATTAGGACCTCATTATCTCAGTACGCTTTCTAACAAAGAAATATTTCATGTCCTACAGGCTTTACACTTGGTTGATTAGCACTATCATACCAAATACCTGTCTCTTTGTCAAATATTAAATTTATACCTGGATTACTTGTACGCATTTAGGCCAATATTCTCATTGCTTTCATATTGCAATAGAGTATGGTTCGATATCATCGTGCTCTATGATCCTTTGAGAAATTGTATAAATATATCGTGAGTATAAGTGTAAGGTCTATCATTCGACTCATACACACTCTCATTAACATTGAGATTTTAATTCTCTGAAATCATTTAAACTTCGGGGCGTCCCCCATTATAAATTCATGGACATGTTTAATCAGAGATAATCTCATGAGAGGAATTCATATGATGACGAGTATATTGGTTTGTGCCTTATCTACCCTCTACTACTTGAGGTGGATAATTAATCGAACCATGTGGCTTCACTCTATTCCTTTAGAGAGCCACGGCCTCAACCACAACCCCACTGCTTGTGATTGCACTGCTTCTTCCTTTAGCATCGTTTCTTTTAATTTAAATTCAAACTTATAAATATGTTTGCAGCTAGTGTGTATAATCTGATTACTTAAATCATTTATGATACCACTTTAACTTCAATGTTACATTTTGAAGTCTAAGATTTATCATTGAGACAAAGTAGTGATATACCATCATAATGATTTTGTCATTCAATTAGAGAGTTCTTTCTCTAATCTCCCCCTAATGATAGGAAAATCAATTGTCTCATTAAAGTCATATCCCGCAAAGCGATGTACACATTATTTGTTAAGGCTAGTAGCGGATTATTGTTGGGGATTCATATCCAACATAAACATCATTTTTCTTTTAAAACTGATTATAATGCGTTGTGGGAGACGCAATAGGCACAACTATTTAACAACCACATATTCATAAGTAGAACATCTCAGGCTAATATCCAGTCACCAACTGGTATACATAAACGTGGTTGTCTAGTATCGGTTTAAAAACAAATGTGCAGGAGTGCTTGCAATATTGCATAATCCCATGAAAATAATTATATATACACATGCACATAGTAGATATAATATTCATCATCTATATTCTTTTAAATGTGAGTTTTATTGAGATCTTATTTTGCACATGGGATGCGAGATCTTTTCATTGATCTCGATATATATGCAATAATCATCAAGTATTTTTGATGAGAACTGTCTAGCCATAACAAGTCATATTGATTTGATTGGTCGGGTGGTGGGCCTTAACTAAACAAGTTTTGCTAGAAGTTTTGCAAATGCAACATTTTTATGCAACAGGAAAATAGACAGCGTGAGTAAATTTCTACCAAACCATAATCTCTTAAATGGCCTGCATTTTGGTAGATGAGTCGTTACATATCACATTGTATTGAAAAAATGAGATATCTTTATTGTTATTTCCTTAGCATATGTGGAAATGTCTCGATTCTATTTTTGCTAAGGAGTAAACTTTAAGAAATAACTGACGTGCCTTCTACTATATCTGTAAGGCATAATGAAAGGTAAATATTTCTTCTCGTACTTTAGAAGATTGATATTGTTTTTCTATATATCAATGCTAAAACCAACAATTTACATTGTGTTGGATCTCATATCATCCTTTATTCGAATAATTAATAACCTAAATGAGTTATTTCAAAGTTTGTATGAGTCAATGACCATTTTGACTCATAACCTGCTTAAATATGCATTTTCTTTTGCATTTATTAGATGCAATCTAATATTTTCTCTCATTTTTATAGCGAGTTTCTATGTAAAAAAACATTGAGGGTACCTTGGTGGACATTGGCGTCCTCACATTGTGAGGGTTCGGGGAAGCCCCACAAAGGTATATAAGGTCATTCTTGTTACTTTGACAAGAGACTGGTCACCAGATTCAAACTCATGACATGACTCCATTCTATGTGAGGACATGGGTACAATTGTTTCAATCATAACTGATTTTGAGGATTACTTCGATAAATATATTCCTTAATTTATTGTAGATCACCACAATGTGTTAAATCACCTATTTGTCACAGATTTCAATAATTTACAAATGTCACCCATATACCTTAGAGTGCTATGACCCCAAGTTGACTGTGGTACATATCATTCTACTATTTTGTGGATATATTCCTTTGTATCCATTTTTTATGAATAAAATTCAAAGATATGCATGTAATGAATTCGTATGCATAAACATCTCAAATATAATTTCAGATGGAACAATGAGATGTTAAATTAATTAAAAATCTCAAACGAATATAATTTATACCAAACTGTAAGACTTGAATAAAAGTATAATTAGAATTAGTAATGTTCATATTTTTAAAACTCATGAAAGAGTAAAATAAAAAATGGATAAACCCAATAATTAGAGAGTGTTCTTATTCTCAAAATAGTAGACAATCATGAAACTTAATTTATATTCTCATGCGGTGAATCTCTTATTCTTTAGAGATTCTACGAAGATAAAAACTAAAAGTATATTTTCAAGTTATATATATCCTGACGAGATAATTACATTTAATCCTCTTATATTAAGGGATTTACTTTAAAATTTATATTTTCAATTTTTTTTATTTGGAAATTTCTTTATCCAAATAACTCTTGGGAGGTTTCTTTATCCCCCAAAAAATATTGTAATTGCATTTAAAAAAAAGACACAATAACAATAAACATCATTCACTAGCTCCAGCTAAAAGCTAGTTAGTTACATAATTATTTAATATATACTGGTGCATTAGTATATGTCTAGAGAAGTATGTGTAAAAATGGTTAATTTTTTTCTATCAAATTAAATAAGCTTTTGTGATTTGCTTTTCACAAAGTGTGCCGGAGTAGCATTGAATTCTAAAATAAGCGTTGAACATACTCAAGTTCATTTGAGTGCATAATGTCAAACTCCGGTCAAATTGATTGGTCAATTAAATTTGTAGAGCCTTGTTTGGAAATTCTTTATCACACAAATAATTAATATAGAAAACTGAATAATGGTACTCAAATCCGTCCGAGGCCAAAATGCCAAATACAAGTTGAGATGGTCAACCATCTTAAAAAAATTGCATGATCATGAGTTCATTCATGAACTTGTGTAGTTCATATGATATAAAACAGAAACTTGTGTATAAACAAAATCGATTCTTTGTGTGAAAATTCTTTATCACAAAAAAAATAATCATGAGAGTATGTCTCTTTGTAGACAATATTTTACAATGCATCGAAGTGAGGAGATATATATTCACCTCCTTAAAAAAATTATAGAGATTTTTATAGGATGTTATATGGTGTTTTTAATATAGAAAGTATTAATATTGGTCTAATGAACGGATTAGGCATAAAATATACTAATCTTACGTGATTATGGTTCTAACTATATGTAAGTGACATATAGCATTACGGAAAAATATAATCACATAATATGTTTAAAATAATTAAAAAAGTGCATAATAAGATTTTAATTCCAACTATATGTATCTAACATATAGCTTTACGGAAAGTATAATCATATAATCATATAAAATACATGAAAATAAGATTAATCGTGTGATCTTTGATTCCAACTATATGTATATGACATTTAGTTTTACGAAAAAGTATGATCACATAGATGTATAAAAACGAAGAGGGATGCATAATGTGATATTAATTCCAACTATATGATTATAACATATAGCATTACGGAATTATAATAAAAAATTGCATCTATCTCTCAAAAAAAATGGATGAGGCATATCATCAAACACTTGGGGTGCAAGAAATGGATCTCAAAAAAATGACAACTTAATCTCTAAAAAAAATCAATGATGTTCATCACAATGATAAACATGATGCAATAAATCATATACATAAGATCCTATAATGATTTTTGAGTAAAAAAATACCTCAACAGAGATCCGGGAATTGGTGAGTCGCAGGCTAGGAAGGAGGGAGACTGGGCGACGGTCGGTGTGTTGGGAGGCGGCCAAGCGTGGCTGGATTGCTGGCGGCGCGGCTGGACTGCTGGAGGCGCAGCTGCGGATTGAGTGTAGGGAGAACGGGAGAAAAAAATAGGTTTAGGGCTACGTGCTGATAACGTGTTGTAGGGAGAATTGGTTGTATAGTTTCATTAGCAAAGGCCCTATAAATAGGGAGATATTAGGGTTTACATAGACGGGTCAATGGGCCCATATAATAGATAGTTTACATAGAATGAGTCTAATACATATTGTCATATTCTATATACACGATAGCATACTACACAGAATTTCCTTCAACACGTATAAAATTTTGGGCAAAATGCAATGACGGCCCTAATAATGCATATATGATAGTAATGATACTGATGGTTTTTCAATTATATACGGCATTACTTCATCTTATCATTAAAAGTGTCTCATTTTTAAATTTGTAATGTTTGTGTAATTATAAATTATTTTTATTTTATTTTTATTTTATCTATATAAAACTACATCTCTAACATTTATATATTTCTATTTAAAAGTAGTGAAATGTGATATAAATCGTAGAGTATAATTAGAAAATAATGAAATAGTGTGCCGCAATGAAGGACAATCCAAAAAATTAGTTGTAATAATGTATTTTTTTCAAAATTCTTCAGATTATAATAGGAAGATTTAAAAATAAGAAGTTATAAATGTAACGATTTAGAAAGAAAAGTGAGAAGATATAATAATGTTAGAAAGGGAGCACGGAGTACTTGCTATCAATCAAACAAACTCATATAATAATTCTCTCATTGACTTGGATCAAAGTTTAAGAAAGTGAAAATAAAGCGGAAATATATAGTTTTGAACGAGTAAGAAAAAAGTAAATGAATGTAGGTGGAAATATGTAAGGCACCTCGACTTTCCAAAATGACAAATGAAAACTATTTTTTGAAATAAGTAAATCACACTCCTCACCGACATAGTCTTAAAATTTTCTCTTGTTTCTACTAATCATCTTCTCGGTGCGGAACCTTATCTTCTTCGTCCTCTAGTCTAAACAAAAGAAATGACAAAAGAAATCGGAGCTGAACATGAACATCCTCCTCCGACACTACTCACCCTCTTCGATTCTTTCTGGTTCGAATACGAGATTCTCACTTCGAAAAATTCAGCAACAACATTATCATCCAAGACCCAGGAAGACACAGAAAATCCCAACAATGAGCTTTCCAAAGCCCCCACAACTTATATATCTGGATCTTTCATTGACAAATGTTTGCGCTCCGAAAACCCCTCCATTGATTCAGAAGAGCCCTCTCCCGAGTCCGTTCTTCTCGAGCCCAGGCCTCAGCTCCAACCCATTCTTTCCGGCAAGGAATTCTCCGATCAGACGAGCATCGCTAACAGTAGCAGCGGTGATGATGTGAGCTTCAGGAACATAAAGAGCAGCGGCAGGAGGATGAGAAGGAAGGATAGTATTAAAAGGAACAGTAAGAGCTTATCAGATCTTGAGTTTAAAGAAGTAAAAGGGTTTATGGATCTAGGGTTTGTGTTCTCGGATGAGGATAGAGATTCAAATCTGCTGGTTTCAATCATCCCTGGACTGCAAAAGAAAGGGGTTTCTGAATATGGTGGAATGATTGCAGCAGATGTTTCAAGGCCTTACCTTTCAGAAGCTTGGGATGCTATGGAAGAAGAAAAGAGGGATAATGATAATTATAGTAGTAGTCAGGGTCAAATTGGGAATTGGAGAATTCCATCTGCTTTTGGCAATGAAATGGAAATGAAAAATCATCTTAAGTTCTGGGCTCATTCTGTCGCGTCTAATGTTATATAACACAGCTCAGCCCTGTTACGTATGTAAACGAATCAATTTATCAGAGATCATATGCCTGTATTATTTTTTACTTGTGCGTATAACTTAGCCCTCCAATTCCTTTATGAAAACCAAATCTCTGAAATTAGTGTTATTGCCTAAGTGTGCTGTCTTTCACTCTGCGTCTGCTAATTTTCTGACTGTAGTGACTGCTGTTTTTAGATTTTTAACAGGAGCCACTTTTCATTATGAACGGATTGAACCTCTCAGTGTATTTTGTCTCGGATCCCATTGTTGTCTCGAGGAGCACAACAAGGGTGTTGCATCTACAAAATCGGATATTCACTCGCCAACTAATATGATGGAGCAATGACTTGAGAAAATAGAGTCAGAGGGTTGGATGAGGAACTGAGACTGTTGGAAAGGAGGGATGGAGGCTGCCATGAAGGAGAAAGCTACATGAGTTTCTATGATGAGGGGTTGTTTTCTTTCAGAACTCTATTGTGCTATTGAGTGTGAGGAGGAATATACCAGCAGAAGAGAGAAAAGTGAGGCTTTGTATTCTCCACCATTGTTGAAGAAGAGGGTTCTAATGCAGTGGTCATATGGATTCTCTACCCAGGCCTTTTGTTCAAGGGATTAGAGCCCGAAAGACTGGGTAAAGTGATCCGAAAGCACATCCCCTGAGAATTGCGTGGACCTATTCATATTCTGGTGAGATTGGCTTTGATACAAGAAGATATAGAGAAATCACCATTGGCACTTTCAAGCCAGAATACTTTATTATGAGTAGTTTTCTAAGGGGGTATCTTTGATATATTAATAACAGTATTCTATGGAAGAACATATCTCAATTTACTCAAGTAACAGGCAAACTTAGTGATATAAGTATATAACCTGACACTTTTCATTCATTTTATCAAGAGACTGACAAATGTTTACTATAAACCTTCAAGGATTCAATTCTCCACCCAAAAATTCTACCATTGCTAGAGATCCAAAAAATCTTATATTTCAGATAAGTAGCATTGTCTTTGACATTTTTTCCAGGAGTAGGAGTCTTTTCACATTAGGAGCACATTTTCGACTTATCAATCATATCAACAACTTGTTTTTTCCAAACACGAATCTTTTCATTTCACTAGCTGAATTTTGTAATGATCAAAAGGTGTACTGTTGAAGTTATTTTTTTAGTAGAATTGGTTAAATTGTTGAAGAAGATTATTGTAGCTATTTTCATATTACATTTTCTATATTTATTAATATTTTACGTAATATATTTTAAATATAATTTTTCAGCATATTCAGTGTTTTAGTTAAAATTTCATCAATTTCAATATATTTAGCCGATTCAATTAATTCGGTGTCACAAAATGAATTCTAGATATTTGTATTCTACTATCATGCATAATCTATTATTTTGGGGGTTAAATGCGCCGAACCCCCTCGTGAAATATAAATTCGGCGCATTAGCCTCGATTTAAAAAATGCATCAAACCCTCTTGGGTTCCAATTAATCATGCGCAAAACCACTTTCAAGAACAAATTTTACAATTTTGAAATCACTTTTTGTAATAATATGGTTGAACATGCAAGTAACTTTGTCAAAATTTCTAAATTATAAAAAAAAACTAATCATTTTTCATGTTTTTGGAAATTAAATTTGTTCTTGGAGATGGTTTGGCGCATGATTGATTATAACACATGGGGGTTTGATGCATTTTTAAAATCACAAAAGGCTAATGCGTCAAATTTATATTTTACGAGAGGGTTTGGTGCATCAAACCCATTATTTTGGTGACTCTGTTGCATGCTCCAGGATCTTTTTCCGAGTGTAACTTGATGCTTCTTTTTATTGTGAAATCTAATGAGAATCCATATACTTTGCCATGAGATGTAGACTTGTGAAAGACAAAGCGGATAAGCATTAGTTATAATGTTATTATGTTACATCTCCATTATTTCCTTCATTTCATGAGACCACCACCTTAAAGAGGGTTTGTACTCTTTTAAAAATGATGATACAAACACTACCAACTATATTACTCGGTAGTATTCTAGTCTAGATATTATAGTTGGTAGTGTTTAAAATTTTCAGATTGTTTAATTCTTTTCCTTTATATAACATAACAAAAAGCACTTTCACAAAACACTGTTTTTTATTTTTAATTTTTTTTCTTCAAACACTACCAGTTATAATATCTAAAATAAATCATTTCTCAATGTGCTACAAACGCAAACGTCTGATCGCCCCTACATAGCTACACACTACATTAACCATTCGAGTTTTTTCCCCTTATCATCTAATAATCCCCATATTTTCTTCTTTTTGTTCGAAACAAAATTATTACTGAGTATAATACTAAAATGACTATCTGAGTTGCCATTAAATTTGTTCTGATCTTGTACTAAACACTAGAGCGTGTAAAACATAAAACAATATTTGTACAATGTAGAAATAATTTCAAATATATAATCAAAATAAAATTAGTGGACAAAAATGTGACTAGTAATTTTAATGACTATAATGATATTCAAATGTTATTAGTAACTATTGAAAGTTACTTATAGGAATTTATATTCACATTTTTGTACACATATTTTTTATTCACAATATTTTAGGAAAAACCTCCTTATTTTGTTTGAACTCATGTAGTTTCAAGTTCCAATATGTATGCATAGGGACTTCAACGGGTTGGGCTCAATGTAAAAAAAAAACTAATGGGTTCGGCTTGGGTCAGGTTGGGCTCAATGTAAAAAAAAATTAATTAATTGGCAGGCTGGGCTAGATTTTTGTAATGAAATTGTAACCCTAACCCGACTATATAGTTTGGCTTAAGGGGTCATGTTGGGTTAGCCCACATCACCAATAGGGTTGGGGCCAGATGGGCTTATAAGAGAAATACAAAAGAATTAAAAAAATACAATGTATATAGTCAACTAAATGGGTGAAAAGAATTTATTACTCCAATAAATGTAATAATAAAATGAAAATTTAATCTATCTATATCTTAGTTTTTTATAGTGCACTCTTGAAAAAGATGTGTACAAACACACAAATACTACACTTAATATTCTTTACCTAAAATTCTAGAGTTGTATATGTTACCCCAAAACTTCATTTTCTTGTATTATTACTTATTAATTGTATATATTACTTCATATAAAAATAGTGTATAAAACGAATATGGGAGAACTATGTAATATATAGAAGGGCTTCTAGGTTGGGCACAATTGAGTTTAAAAGGCAGGGCCATGATGAGTTTTGATGGGCCGACCCATGATCCTTAAGGATCGGCCCGGGCTTTTTGGCAAATAGACGGGTAGGTTCTATGGCTCATTAGATACAGTACTAGTATTAATTATTAATAACCACTTTTGATCAGGTTCGATATTACGAAGTATGAATTTATGATTTATAACCACGGAAAATGGAAGGATTCTAGGCGTCTAGCCTAATATATACTCTTTTTTTGCGAGAATAATATATACTCCTTTTTACCCTATCAGATTTTATGTTGCATGGATACAGATACATTGATGTGAGAATATAATGTAATGGCTTACCCAATAAGTAGCCCTGGATGTCATATATATTATAGAATAAGAGTCCAAAATACAATCAGAACCTAACAAAATATGAAAACCCTATGTTAGCTTATTAATACATTATTACACCCCCTCAATCTGTGCAGGGGAAACAACGCGCAGATTGTCCCTAAGAAAAATAAACCGTTGAGGAGATAAGCACTTGGTGAAGATATCAACTAGCTGAAACTGTGTAGGAACATAGCGTACCACCAGGTCTCCATGAGAAACACGCTCCCGGACAAAATGATAATCAATGTCAATATGTTTGTTGCGCGCATGCTGGATCGGATTTGCAGATAGATCAGAGGCAGAAACATTATCACAGAGCAACTGAACCGGCGAGCGTATGGGTACTCCAGTTCAAATAAAATAGATCTGATATGCAGTGTGTCTTGAACTGTGTAAGCAATAGCCCGATACTCAGCTTCTGTAGAAGACCGCGAAAGAGTAGGTTGTTTCTTGGACTTCCAAGAAACTAAGTTAGGACCCAAAAATATAGCAAACCCGGAAGTGGAACGACTACTGTCAGGACATCCTGCCCAATCAGTATCCGAATAAGCCTGTAATATAGAAGAGGAACCGCTCAGCTGAAGCAAAAGACCATAATCTGAAGACCCTTGAAGGTACCTGAAAATACGCTTAACAACCAACATATGGGAAGTACGGGGGGACATGCATGAATTGAGAAACCGGGTGAACTGAAAATGTAATATCAGGTCTAGTCATAGTCAAATAATATTGATGGATAGCGTACCCGAGGGTAGCTTATCCGAGGGGTTATTACGGGAATAACTTAGAGAGAAGTCGGAGCAATAAGTAAGAGAGAGAAAATGTATTCGAGAATAGAACTTGTTATCTTGTTCTCTTTACAATGGAGAATGGGCTGCTGTTTATAGGAGGAATAAATTCTAGATAATCTCTGGGGTGGCACTGGCATACGCTAGAGAAAGGACACGTGTCAATAATCTGGCGGTGGAGGGGTCACCTCAACCGAGGTGGCACTGGTATACGCATGTGCGCTGCATTAAATGCGGTGGGTGGATGTGACGCCGCATTAAATGCGGCTGTTGCTCGTCTTTGAAGGGAATCTCCGATCTATGTGCTGTAGCCGAAGGCTCCCCTATGGCCGAAGGCTACCCAAGTGCCGAAGACGTGCATGAGCCGAAGGCTCTTGACCTCCGTCGTTTTCTCCCAGTAGGTTTGTGTGCGTAAAATTAGCTGTCCTGTGAGTTTTAGGGCCTTCGGTCATGGGGACGAAGGCAACCGTATGTGCCCCGCGGGCTTCAATGCATTTGATCCGCTGTCCTTTGGGCCTCCTGTGCTTCTTGGGCCTGTTGGGCCTGTGTTAGAGTAGTAGCAGTCTGTGGAGCGGGGGTCCGTGGTCCATATACTCCATCAGGAGTCCCTCACTCCTTTTGCCAAAAGGTACTTGAGGGAAAAGGAGTAGTTTGTGCTTTTAAAAGGAGTCCCACATTTTGGGATTGAAGGATCATGTTGATAATGCTTTTAACATTTTTTGATTTTCTCGAAGGGGTTCTCCAGTCCCCCACTCCTTGAGGCATATGTAATGTGGTGAAAAGGAGTAGGGTAGTGCCTGTTTTTAGCATAGGGCCGAGGGCTGACCCTTTTCGTTTCATTTTGGGGGGATGTCTCGTTAAAAACCTCATTAGGAAAAACCCTATGGGAAAAAATCCCAACGAGGGAAAGAGAGTGCACCGGGTTCCCCCAATGATGAATCGAAAAGGTGGACCCTTGGTCTGAATATTTTGCTGAAGCCGAGAGCCGTGATCTGAGGGCTCTCTCGTTGACTGGCCGAAGGCCGCTGTGGATATCCCGGGGATGCCGAGGGGAGTCCCCCCAGTCATTGAGGGCTGAGGGCGTGATGAATGCGAGTGATTGTTCCTGTGTTGCCGAGGGGGGTTCTCTGGTTTTCATGAGGGCTAAGGGCTCCCGAGAGTTCCTTGGCCTTACACTGGGGACCTACCCTTGAGGAGGGGATTTGAATGTGTTCTCTGAGGGCTGACTATGTTTGTTGTTTTGCCCGAAGGGTGCCAGCTGAAGACATCGTTGCGAGGTGACCATTTAAAATATAGCTGTTGGGATACGACCGTTAGAGACACAACTGTTGGAATACGACCGTTGCAGGTGGGGTCCACGTGGCGTGCTCCCGTTGGCTATCCCGGGCGGGTGTCACTGGTTGGCTGAGGCGGCGATCTGTAATGATGGTTTTTGCAATCGGGGGCCCAATTATTGGCCCAGGCCCGAAGTGGGGAGCCTATAAGTACACCAGGCCTAACCTTATTCTCCTTTACGCATTCTTGTTGTAGCGAAGCTCTAGCGA